GGGCTGGAGGAACTGGACCTCCGCGGTCTTGAACAGACACGCCGAGGGGCTGGAGGCACTGGACCTCTGAAGTCAGGGACCTGATACTTCTTTAGAATCAATGATGAAACACAAGCCAGAAGATACAAGCGGGAAAACTATAGGAAAGAGTTTTAAAACTGACAAAAGGAGTCACATCTTTACCTAAAGGCTAGTGGGAGTGTGGAACTAGCTATCCAGCCATGTGGCTGAAGCTGACACCCTAGTTTCCTTCAAGCACCAGCTGGACGAGATCCTCAGATGAATTCGCAGACTGACTTCCAGACAGGCCTCCTCCTGTCAGTTACTGTTCTTGCCCTCCTGTGCGAACGCTAACACTGACTCGGGTTACGGCCTCTGCCCTGTTCTCCAGAGGCCACTGCTGCTGACTCTGAGGCAGGTGATTAATGTGAATAAAGCGGGCAGGAGCTGCCCTGCTGTCCTCCCTCCTCCTGGACGAAGCCTGCTGTGACAGAACCTAGCAAAGGCTTCAAAGTTTTCGGTATTCACTTCTCTGCCTTCCACCTGCCTTTAAATCTGCACCCAGACAGAAATGTATTCACCGCCACTCTAACGAGACTCGCTTAGCAGTGAAAGCGATGCTCGTGGTCTGCGTTTTATGATTTGTCTGCATTAATTACAAGGCAAAAGAAAAATCCCAACACACTGCCTGGGTGAGATAAAAACACATCACTGCCAGGCAGGGCAGGTGCAGTGGATTCTAAAATCCTGGTCTGGCTGACAAATAACAGTGCTGAATTCTGGACACCTCCAGACTGACTAACAGTGAGTCATAAGAGCTGACTAATCAGCAGTTTAGTTAAAATAAGCACATGCTCCAACACCTTTTTACTGCAGAACTGTCAGATGAAAGTTAAAAACCTTTTCTGCATCCCCCTGCAGTATTTTAAACCACAGTTTCTACATTTTGGCAAATAAAAGAAATGTATTTCTTTTTTTTATGATGACGAGGCCTGCTCGATTTCAAAAAGACCCTACAGAATAAGCATTTTTCTGCTTTAATACAGTAAAACACAGGTCATCTCCCAAACAATGACTCTGACACAATCAAGGAAACATCTATTGTACCAACACGAGGGCACGTGTCAGCACAGCAGATGTGCAACAGACGGACAGCAGTGGCATCATGGGTTCGTAGCAGTTTGACACTTCTCCCCTGAGAAACAGCAGCACATACAGTTCAAGATCAAAGCAGCTGAGACGTTCCTGACAGGAAGTCATCTGTACCTGGACATATTTCCAGAAATCTAATCTGAAGACATCATCCCGTGAAAAACAGGGCCTGCAGCTTACTAAAAACAGCTACAAAACGAAGAAAGTTGGCGTGATGGAGGATGGCTCTCCCGATAGAGCCGAGCTCTTGCACCAGTGGTCTCCCCCTGTGACTGTAGGAGTGATTCCGAAGAAGGGAAGATTTTTGGAAGCTGCTGCTGGAAAGCTTCCCAAGCAGAGGATGCCCACAGGAGAACAATGAATCGTGGTGTGGCCCACAGGGCGTTGCAGAATTCTACCAGGACTGGATAAACACAGTCAGAGGAGTCAGAGGCAAAGTGACTCAACCAACCTGGTTTCCACTCCGAAAACCCCAAGAAATGTCAAAACAGACACCAAAATAAGTCAATAGAAACAGGCCCCTCTCAAAATAAAATGACATTATTCTGGATCCACTGGCCTGATTGCACACAGTTTTTTTGTTTTTCAAAGTCTGCACAGGGACTTTAGTCTCCCTGTGTCCCATTACAAGGCCTTCCCTCCTCTGTTTGTGTGGAGCAAACACTGATTCCATCTTTTCCATTTTCCTGCAGGAAATGAAAGGATGCCTTTGCACAGAAAGCATGAATAACACACATTTTCCCCCCTGGCCCTGGAGCGCTGCTGCACTGTGGTTCTCCCACACTGCAGTGCACCAGCGACCGGGCCGGGGATCCGCGCTCCGCGCTCCGGTCAGTCCACCTGCCCGGCCAGCTCCTCGCCCCCCGTCAGGAGGCGTTTCCCAAGGCACAGCTGTGTTCTGAAGCTGAGCGGCTCAGGGTTCGAGGCCGGCCATCCACTTTTTCCTGCACCCCCTGCTTGCTGTGGTTTTGTCTCGAACTGGGAGAACCATCAGCTTCCCAAATACGTCATTAAAGAGGAATCTGACCACCCCGACTTACAGGATCAAGCAGGCTGTGTAAAAGGACTCAAGGACTTTCCGACTCCCTTCCCAATCCTTTTCTTTTTTTGGGTGGATTGTTCATGACATGGAAAAATACGTAGCCTTAAAAAAACAGCCCAACAGAGCTACACAGTGAACTGCGCTAGAACATCAGACGTCTCTTTCCACCTTCATGAGGATCTGTCAAAATCACACAGACAGCTTATGGAGAAGCAACAGAAAGCAGGAGGAATAAATGGGGCTCCCCTGCAGGCCAGTCGGATCCACTTTAGGTTTAATGAAATACACGCTCTTTTACAAGCTAGTGATGATTTTGCTTAAGCAGTACTTGGGGTCGGGCCTGCAACAGCAGCAGACAGCTTACAGATTCCTAAAGCAGAATGAATGGCTATCCCCTTCTTATAAATAATAATTGCCAAATTTGTATTTTTTAATATTTTTTACATTAAGGAAGGGGCCCAGTTTATCCACCACTACAGTGCAGCACACAGCTTGGTAACAGACAGGAGCCCCCCTGCACAGCAGGTCAGGTGGGGAAGTGAGGAATGAAATAAAGGCTGAATGCCAGGGAGGCCAGACTGTTCAAGGCCCCAAAGGGAGTTTAGTCAGGACAGCAGAGCTCCCACCCGAACTCTTACAAACGGTGCCATGCTGTCAAACCTCAGGTTAGCGTGTCATCTGAAGGACGACACCTCTTACATCACAATTTCCCTTGTCACCATACTGAGGGGCTGGTTAGGAATTTCTTGTTCAGGGAGAAGATGGCCACCTTTTGGCCTACTCACACCATTTACAGCTGCAATCTAGTGGTCTCCCACCCCAATACTGACCACGTCCAGCCTTGCTTAACTTCTCATATCTGACTAGATAAGATAAGAAGATAAAGTGATTATTGGCCATATACAATTTCTTGTATTAGGAATTTGTCTTTTCACAGACCCCAGCTTGCTCTCCATGAGACACACAGACAGGGAGAGAAAAGCTGGGGGTCAGAGCGCAGGGTCAGCCATTTATACAGCACCCCTGGAGCAGCTGGAGTGAAGGACCTTGCTCAGGGTCCCAACCAAGTAGGATTCCTCTGCTGGCCGCAGGATATGAACCAGCAACCTTCCAGCCACAGGCACAGACCCTTAGCCACAGAGCCACCACTCTGCCCAAACTACAAAGCAGCTTACTTGTTTTCCTGATTGTGCAAAGTCCGTAGAGCCAAAAGGCTTGCTTCTTCTTACAAATGAACGATACCAACACCATGCTGCACTGCATGTGGGAGATCTCATATCTCCAGAAAATCACTATATAAGTGTAAGCAATTATTATTATTATTATTATTATTATTATTATTATTATTATTCAGAATTATTATTCAGAATTATAGTGAACCTGGCACTCACACCTTTAACTTCAGTTAAGGACAACAAAGAACAAACGAGAACAAACATTTATGAGACAATCATTTTGCTAATCCAAGAGATTGTGATTTTAAACTTATTGTACTTAAACAAAGCAAATCTAATGCTTTTGTTCAATGCAGATTTGTTGCACTTATATTATGCAAATCTGCTGACTAACACAAATGTAAACTTACTGCACCTACACATT